AAAGTTTCATTTTTATCATTACATTATGGAAAATAATGACCTTTATCACAATATGCTAATTTTTTGAGAAGGACCTGTATAAATCACTGAACATGGGTACTCCTTCATTTGTCTCTTCCAGGCGAAAACACACGTGTGTGACATTGATCAGCGCCTCCAGGGGGTAATAAAGAGCAGGAACAAAGTGCTGGGTCTGCCTCTGTCAATAGAGGGACACGTGCACTACCTCATCCAAGAAGCCACAGATGAAAAGCTGCTCTGTCAGATGTATCTGGGCTGGGGTCCATACCTGTAAGGGAAGGCCCATCCCTACAAGTACATCACTGTGTACTGAAGCAGTAATGCAGTAAATTACTGCACTTTTCTTTGTTGGAAGAAAATGTAATTTAGTATTTTTCCCTCAAAATGTTCATTATTGCGTTGAAGTTTAAAATGTTCTGAAGGTGTTTGATACACATGGACAAGCTTCTCTAATAAAAGATATGTTGGTTTGTAACTGCGTCAGTGCCTTTTGAATCTTTTCAGCCTCCTTAGACCCACAGAAGCAGCAACCTGTCAGCTGACTGTTTTTAATCTGCTCACATCCTGCGCTCCACTCAACTCGCTGTTTGTTTTTCCACCATGTTCTAGAAGCTGAAGGAAGACCCACTGGACCCAGTTTAAAGTAGGTGCTGTGCAGGAGTTTCTTATGGGTTCAGACACTATAACTAAACTATATACGTTAAGACTTCTTTTTCTTAAAGCATGCCTGCTTTTCCAATTTGTAGAATGAGGAACAAGCACCGGCTGTTTTTTCCCTTTTTTATATATTTTTCATATTCTTTACTGTGACCAGATTATCGTAGCACTTTCCTGCCCTATTAATGATTAAGATCATAATGGTCTAATGAAAGTAACTTGTGCACTAACTGCCACTACTACTGTCATTATTGTTTTTAAAATCTTAAAAATAGGTCCAGCCGCTCCTCGAGTTTGAACATCGGTAATTGCAAATGGCAGATTGAGTGTTGTGAAAAATTCTCAAACCCCTCTAGTGACTCCGCCCCCTGACCAATCAGTGACCGACAGTGTTCTGACATCACATTTTGGTGCCAGCTCCACTCTCTTGCTACCACTGAGTAGAAGGGACCAAAAAAGGGTGCGGTTCCACGAAAAACTGAGAGTGGAAAAGGGCTCAGAACCAAACCGAGTCGAGCTGAAGAGAAGTTATGGAAAGGGCCCATAGCGTGGTGTCATCCTTGACTGGTTTGAGAGAGGAGTAAAGGAGGCCATCTTTGTGAAAAGAAACCGTCCATCATTAAACAGGGGCGGAGCCTCCAGGTTCAACTGTCCCCCTCTTACAATGCTGTGATTGCTAGTATCACTCAGCCCTCTGTGAACAGTAAACAGCCATCAGGTGCTAATGATCCATTGTTAGGCTGATGGTCCTTCTTGAGCATGTGATCAGCTGGTTCTGGTTGTCAGCAGCAAACTGGTTGATCCACTCAGAGAAGGTGCTATTTATAAGTTTATTATAAGTTTGTTTATTTATGTTCTCACCCTCAAAAATGCCATTGAATACTTTAGTCAAAAACATCACTGCCATCTCTCCAAGACATTTCCAAACCTCCACATAAGGTCCAACATTTTTCAGTCAGGTCATCTGGACAGTTTCTTTTTTTTTGTCCCAGATGACTGAAAAATGTTGGATTGTAAACCTGGATTATTGAGCATGGACTTTGTTGTTTTCAACCAGTTTGACATGACTGTCAACAAGGAAGAGGGCCGGCAATGGAGGACGGGGCGTACCAAAGAGACCATCTTATCACAAGCAGAACTGGTTTGTTCCACTTTGGAGTAAGCTGTTGGGGGAAGAATCAACTTTGTTGTGTGTTTCCTTGACTGATGAAGCCTTCTGGATCGAAGGCGAAAGATTTCAGCACAAAAAAAGAAACTGTCCAGATGACCTGACTGAAAAATGTTGGATTGTATACCTGGATTATTGAGCATGGACTTTGTTGTCCACATCAGGTCCTACTGTCTTCTGCTTCTTCATCCTTTTACTTCCTGGTCCACAGTTTCTATGGCCTCTTCTCTTTCTTTCTCTTCATTCATTAGCTCCTCAAAGTACTCCTTCCATCTTTCCATAACACTCCTTGCTTGAACAGGAAGTAGCATTACCCTATTTAGACCACAATGCATTGCAAAATACTTTGAGCATGAGTAACTGTAAAGGTTGATTTTCATCTGAAATCTGAGCATCCTTCAACTTTACCAATTTTAGACATTGAACATACTGCTACACTATGCATTATGCAGTGGCTGAGTGGTTAGAGCAGCCGTCCTCCTATGCAAGCGTTCAGGGCTCGATTCCCCCAACAGTCACATGACGAAGTGTCTCTGGGAAGACACTGAAGCCCTCCGAGTCTCTGATGTGTCCCATCAGTGCATGAATGTGACAAAGCTCTGATTATTCTTTGTACAGATCTAGTATAGAGCTGTATGAATGGGTGAATGAGGCACAGATTGTTGTAAAGAGCTTTGAATAGATGGAAAGGAGCTACAGTCCATGTTTGTTGTGGCTCCTCAGACTGAACAAGGCTTTTGGATAAAAGACGAAACGTTTCAACAAAGAATCCGTCCAGAGGACCTGACTTATTGTGAACTTGTCTTTCTGTACCTGTATGTTGCAGTGTAGCGACATTATGCTTTTACTTTGAAAATCATAAACCGGAAATGTAATGTAATCTTTACGTCGGTGGAGATTTTAAGATCTTTGATGATTTTGAACAGCGCTACGCTGATTAGCGTGCACGCTGCGTTCTGTATCAGTTTGTAGATTAGTGCGTGTGTTGCGGATGGATGCGCTGGGTGCTGGTCAGTTCATTCACCGGGCTCTTCAGGTAAACAACAACAACAACAATAAACGGAATGTGACGGGAACATCCAAAGTGTCAATGGTATTGTTGCCCTCCAGTACACAGAAGAGAGCTTCGGCCAGGCGGAGAAAACCAGTTTGGACCCGGAGCTGCAGGAGCTCCTGGCCCAGGTGGACTCCACGAAGACCTGCACGGACCGGATCATCTCCCAGACTGAGGTTTTACTGCAGCCTAGTCTAGGTGAGCCTCACAGTACTCATGCACTGCGATGAAATGAAAACAGGTCTGACTTCATATGTTCGACAATAAATCTTGTTATTTACTCAAAAGAAACGTGTTACTTTATTACTTTTAAAGGCTTATCAAAGAAAACTAAACTAACAGAAACAAAAAGAACTAATCCAACAGTTGCTCTGAAGATAAGACATCCATCCATCATCTTTACCCACTTCTTCCTTTTCGGGTGTGGGGGTCACATGGTGTTCATGTGCAGCAGTCACTGTGGGAGAGACAGGAGACACCCTGGACAGGTCTCCAGTCCATCACAGGGACACACGGAGACACAACCTGATGCATGCTCAGCTCCTTTTAGCTTCAGCACCATGGACAGCACCTGTCACAGGCGGGTCAGGGGTCAGGCAGCAGACAAATGGATGTGTACCGTTTACATCAAGAACAAAAGACCTACAAAAGTCACTTCACTTGGAAGTGACAACAGGAAACATGACTGAAATGAAACTAATGAAAGTCAGACATTGTGTTCGAACGATGGATGAACAGTTGAGTTTTTCTTTCAGCTGCACACACACAGAGCAAACTTGCATGAATGACTGGGCAGTTGTTTTATGTCGGACGGAGTCTGGGCTTGGTAAATGGACTGTACTTATACAGCACCTTTCTATCTTATTTCAAGACACTCAAAGCTCTTTACAACAATCTGTGCCTCACTCACCCAGTCATACAGCTCTATACTAGATCTCTACACAGATAACTGAACAAATCATTCTACAGAGACTAATCAGTGCTTTATCACATTCATACACTGATGGACACACATCAGAGGCTATGAGGGGTTCAGTGTCTTGCCCAGGGACACTTCAGCATGTGACTGCTGGTGGATTCAAACCCCCAACTCTCACATTGGAGGACGATTGCTCTAACCACTCAGACACAACCGCCCCACTTGCAACCTTTTTTCTGTGCTATCATATGAGAGATACTGTCATAATCAAATGCATGTGTGTGTGTGTGTGTGTGGGGGGGGGGGGGGTACAAAGGAATGTACAAACCATTCACCAGTATAAAAAAAAAATCAATCAGCCAAACAAGAAAATCTAAAAGTAATAAGAAGTCTGGAACTTGTTTGGATCAAATTAAATAATTAAAAATGGAGAACATTAAAGACGAACCAGAGTTCACCTGTTAAATACTTAAAGCAGTATAATGAAATGTATTGATTTCAGCAGCATTAATAGATGATTCAACGGTGTTTAATATTAATAGACAGGAAGTGATGTCTCCCTTCATTCAGCAAAATGCTCTTCTTATACTGAAAACAATGCAGGACTGCAAACACGAGGCCTGAGCAGCACAGCCTTTCCTCCACAGAAAATATATATTCATATGATACTTACAGTAAATAAGCACATACTTTTTCATGCCTGCTTGCCCTGACCATGATTGGTTTGTTCAGATGAAGAGTTTTTATTATCATCTTTCTTCAGCTAATGGAGTTTCAAGTATATCTGGTCTGCAATGTATCCAATATGCTGACATTAGCAATAAGAATATATTTTCATCTAATGTGGTGGTCCATTCCTTTGACCAAAGACCAGAAGAGATAAGATAAGATAAGATAAGATAGGACTTTATTGATCCCACATGAAGTTGTTGTGCCAGAGTTTCAGTACAAAGGAACATACACAAGAATCACATGATATAAAAATAACAGAGAATAAAAATACAAAATACCAACAATGAAGTTCTAAAACAGGTCAGGTGCAGACAGAGACATTAAAGAGTTTATTGGAGTACAGGATTAATCTTATTGTCCTATATGCAGAAAGAGGGAGGAGTTGAAAAGTTTGATAGCCACAGGGAGGAAGAACTACCTGTGTTGTTCTGTGGAGCACCTCGGTGAGGTTAGGGAGAAAAAAAGGGGAAATGGAAATACTCTCCATCTGTTCGTCTGTCTGTGAATGTTGCAAGCATGATAACTTGAAAAAGAAGTGAGGTACAGCCTTCTATGTTGATGCGTGACTCCATTTAAAGGAAAAAATGGTTCCTTTTCAAAACTGGAGTGCCAGGTGAACCCAGTTAAACAAATGAGACAAAAATATTATACTTGGTCATTTATTTATTGAGGAAAATGATACAATATTACATATTTTTGAGAGGCAAAAGTATGTGAACCTCTAGGATTAACAGTTAACTTGAT